CTCGCCGCCGCCGACAGCAGGGAAGAGAGCCCGTCGAGGAGAGGAGGAGGAGGATTTCGCGCGTTCGTACCCGCTTCCGACGTGCACTCGACGGAGAGGCTCCCGGCATCGGAACGTCGTTCGCCGTCGGAGGCCGATCTGTCGATCTCTCCGCGTAGTTCTCTCTTTCGCTCTCTCTCGCTCTCTCTCCTCTCTCTCGTTCGGTCTCTCGCTCGCCTGTCCGCAGCCCTTCTCGCCGTTCTCGGAACACCCGGCGTTCTAACACCGTCGTGCTCGTTCTGACACATAGAGACACGTTAAACGTACGTCACTGTGCTTTATACGAGAGTTCCGTCATTTACCGTTTCTCTTTCTCTAAACCGCGACTATCTTTCCCTCCTTATTTCCATCCCCATCCTCCTTTATTCTATCTCTGTCCCCGCTTGCTTTAATCTCATCCGTTCTCAATCATTTCGATCTCTGCGTCTGATAGTACTTTCCACGGCGAGAGAGGTGTGTCTCCCCTCCCCCCATCCCGCTCGTCCTCCTTGAGGAGTCGAAAGGACAGGCAGTCTCCGACGTGCGGGCGACTATCCCTTTCCTCCGAGGAACATCCCATTAATCAAGGGCGACATTTTGTCCATTACCGCGGCGGCAGCAGCTTTCCAGGATACTTTCGGAATCTGGAACTCGGTCGTCAAGGTCACCCCGGCTCGTGGTACCCAGGAATATTGCTGGGGGGAGAGGGTAACGAATAACCAGGTGAGTACACCACTGCTATTAGGAACTTCGGTCGAGAGCTCGAGAAACCCTCGAACCGATCGAAATCCGTTACGTGTCGGTGACCGACTGTTTAATCGGGTCACCAACGGCGGACGAACGAACGAACAAACGGACGGACAGACGGATAGACTAGTATACGGATAGATTAGTTATAGCGTATGCAATCTGTCGAAATTCGCGCTGACGATTTCCTCGTCTGTGATATGACGTATATGGATTTTATCGGTCGCCACACCGCCGCCACCGCTGTCGCCGACGCCGACGCCGTCGCCGTCGCCGTCGCCGTCGCCGTCGTCGTCGCCGGGTGTCTCGCGAGAGGGGGCGATCTGTTACTAAGGGGTTGCACTGCAGTGCCACGGTACGTGGTGGGGTGGTCTCACCCTGAAAGTTCCACCGGAATGCCGTTGACTTTCATACGCCGGTCACTTCTATTTCTGTGGAATATCGCGATTCGATTTTCCTGATCATTAGGGAGAAATAGAAAAAAGAGAATTATCAAGATTCATCCATCGGTGGATCCCCTACATACAGGGGTTCTGATAATATCAGAATATTATCCCCTCGTTGACCAAACGTCATATGAATCGATCGTGATTCGGTCGCGTAAGACCGAAAATTGGTTCCATCTCCGGTCAGAATTTGGATCAATGATCTAAGAAGTATATGCACCCGGCATCATGTCCGTCTTGCGCATTGCGCCCGGCAGGATGTGGTAGCGCGGAGGGCTCGTGTAAATCCTGCGCAATGCTGGCTTCGGCGATGTGCGTGCGTACGGAGCGACCACGGCGCCGACTCGTCGAGGAGGCAGCAGCAATCCTCCTCTCGGGATCGTTCCCCGACGATCTTCCGCCGCGATCCGCCGCGATCGCAAAACGAAATTTCGGAAATTTCGCGCACCCGGAAATTCTACGGTGAATGCGCGAGGCTTCCCGAGCCCTCCCTTCTCGGAAAATTGGTTTCCCTCTCGACGGGAAAAGCTCGGCCTCTCGTAAGGTTTCGATCGGGGGATCTCATCGACGTTCGGCTTAGCCGCAGAAAAGTGCGCAGGGCCACCGGTGTGCAGTCTTCGCCTTGAGATCTTCGGTTTGGCGACCGGCTGGTAGCACAGATTTCCACTCGAATCCTCGTACGTATATATCTCCGAATTCGAAGAAAGTGATATTAATTTTTATCATTATTGTAGATATTAAGAAAATCGTCTACTCGAATTTTGTTAAGAAGTATATTCTATAAACTACCTTTTTTCGTAATGGCTATTCTCAAATAATTAATCAAAAATTTATACGTCATACCGATCATATTTTTCGGGATTGATTTGAGTGGAATCGATCTCCTTTCCTAAATTTGTAATCGCACAGGTTTGCAAAACGGATGGGATTGCTCATTAATGAATATCCCTTGTTGTTTCGCCGACTTTTGACGTCGGGGAAGTTCGCCGAGAGTTTTCAATTTGATTGATCGTCGTAAAGTTTCTCCAGGCATACGGTCGCCGACCATAAAACGAGTATTAAACGGTAATATCGAGAGACTATATGCCGTCTTTATGGAAAAGAAATTACGGTCGTGTTTCGACCGAAGGAGGAGGGGGGAAGTGAGGTGGGAGGCAGAGCCAGTGCTTTGTGCACCGCCAACCCTCACGCTTACGCCGAAGCTTACGCTTCTCCTCGATCCTTGGCACTTCTATTTCGGCCTCGAATCCGTTTCACCTTTCATCTCTCGTACGCGATGCAGATGGAGTGTCCGCACGATCGTGCGGAGCCATTTGTCGTACAGAACGGTACGATGGCGCGGCAGAGGTACATTTAACGAATAATCAGAGCGATAGTGGAACATAAATCGTTCAGTTAGAGCTTTCGTTCTTCGCCTTGACTAACCGCGTTAGACGTGTTAATTGCAATTAGCACCACGCGTGCAGCGTGTTACGCTAATCAAGAGTGGTAGCCATGATAACGTTAAATCGGTTCTTTGCCTCAACGAGATATGAAATTTCATTCTTACGAAAGTATTAAAGTTACTTTTTATTTTGTACTTTTTTTGAACGCGAAGTTCATTGCAGTAACGTAATTTTCGTTTCGTTCAGATCGCGAAGATCGCTAGTATAAAGCTGTGGCTATTTTCGTGATTTAAGAACAAAGCACGTCGCGCAGAGTGATTAAAGCTTTAATGGTTGTTCGTCATGAAAAGATGATTAGCGGCGTCTAAAAAGTCGATTAAATAAGAAAATAGCGACCGATAGTCCAACAGCAAAATATATAATTAGTCAGTTATTATTCATTAATCAGCAAACATTAATCAGTCGATAATCAGACCATTATTGCCGTATTATCACGAGTTTAATCGAAATAGTTATGTTTTATCTAAACTCGTGAATAAATTATTATAAAATCAATTATACTGGCGGTTATACAATATATGGCAGATATGTATATCGGCAGCTACAATAACTTGCAGAAAAAGTTAATATATAAAATGGGTCATTTTCCGAAGATTTATTTATGGTGCTGCGACGTTGCAGCAATGAGTACCACGGACCCCAGCGGGGAGGGTGGAGGAGGGGGAGGAGGAGGAGGAGGAGGAGGAGGAGGAGAGGGTGCTACGACGACAAATGTCGAGCAGAATGCATCCCCGAGCACGCCGATCACCGGCACTATCGTGCCGGTACAGGCGGCCGCTCAGCAGCAACAGCAACAGCAACAGCATCCGCCGCCATCGCCTCTGAGCGGTTGCTACCTTCTCGTGGTGCTTCCTGAGCCTCATACCGCACAACACAAGGACCTCATCTTGAATCGCCTCGCGAAAGGTAGGACGACCCCCTTACTTCGTGCGATCGTAAATTCAATTTTTCACGAACGCTTCTCGCTGCCACTATTATTAGTTTTTGACAGAAAAAGGTATATGCACCACACATACACTCTCGTAATCTCGTATCGCATAAGTACTTCTCTAAAGTGTATTTTTTTTTAATTGGAGGAAAAAACATTTCGAAGCCTGAAGATACTATGCGATACGAGGTCAAGAGTGTACGGGGACATATAATGGAAAAGACCCCCCCCTTTACCTTTCTGTGAGCAAAAGAGTGCGGAGTTCCACGCGCGATCTTTCGATCCTTTCGGCGTTATCAGTCCAACGGCACGCATTGACGTATATATATGCGTACGATTACACAACTGATAACATATTAAGTATCATTATTATCACGTGATGAATATTAAGGCCTAATAAACAAGTATCGGACACGAGAGTTTCATTACCGATACGAACGGCATGCCGAGCTTGGCTGAGAGTGCACTTTGCAATCGCCGCACCGACTCGCGACCGTAATCTTCTTTCGGCGGTCGTATCGCGACGTTGCGTTTCCGGATTAAGATCGCGCGTATCCGTCGCATTGCCTGCTTCCTGGACGTACGGCTGTGTCCGCCTAACGGTGCCCGTCCTCCTCCGCTTATTTTCCTTTTGAGTTATCGGACAGACTCAAGTCGACGAACGGATGGTCCGTGTTGCTAGGCGGACACCGTAAAACGGACATACGCGCACTCTCTTTCTTCCCTTTTCTTTTTCCGCGCGAGAAGGAAATCGATGTCGTTACGCGACTCGTTTATTCCCAATCGTCGCTCATTAGACAGACTCGCTAATTCCTCCTCATGTTCGTATGTTTTTCCCGTAGACGTGCATGAATGAGAGCCGGCGGCGCCGGTAAAGCCTCTCTCAATTGCAATTGAAGAAGGAACGCGCCCGTAGCCGACACTATGATATTAATTGGCTTTTATGGCGAACATTCATTCGCTCGTGAATTACCGTAATCGTACGGGAGTAATGCACGTCGAACGATCGATATAGCGATCGAAATTTTTCTTTCTGATATATACACTCCCACAAGTAAGACGAATGTTTTATGACTTCGAAGGAAGTTGTATATTCTCATAAAGAGCCACATAATATGGTTCTGAGAAAGAGACACTTGCGCGAAAAAAATGTAATATGTATAGAAGTATATTTTTTATAATAAACATTTTTTATGCCCGTCACTATTTCGGGAAACGGAGAGGAAATTTTCTTGTATTTGTTATCTTCTTTTACCGGTATTGTCATTACTGTCACGAAATTGTCGTTACACTCGCTATACGCGAATATGTGCTTAGAGTTCGTAATTAGCTACGTCAACGTGGGCCACATATTTAATTAAAAAGCAATAAAAAGGTATCATGAAAGGAGTATCAATAAAAAGAGATATATCCATACGATATCCTGATAAAAACCATACGATATCCACACGATAAAAACGATGAATGTAGGATAATGTTATGGAATTTCAATGACAGAGATATGGAATTTCAAACTGATCCGAGGAGAATGGAATTTCAAATTGATCAGAGGTTAATAAAATGTTTATATTGATATATAAATATTTCTTTATATGATTAATTAGAAGCTTCAATTCTCCAGAATATTCTGTATGTTTTCCCACGTGTGTTTTAACACGTTTCGCAATCGGAATAGCGGAATTTTGTAATATATTGCTCTCTGAGGGTGAGGACATATCAAAATTAATATACCGACACTACGTTTTTTTTAAGGGAGGAGGGAGAGGGAGGGGAGTGAAAGGAAGGGGAAGTCGACGTACGGAACCCGTATTCATATTTCCGCATTGCGCCAGCAATGATTTTTAACGTCGCGCTCGTCGACTTCTCGTTTAACGTTTATCTGCCGATTTTTCAATCCTTTCGCGCGCAAATTCTATAGCTTGCCTCACAGCGGTCGTTTGCATTTGCGACGATGATTTCGCGAAATGCCATCCGATAATATCACCGCTGTGTATATGCACGTCCCGTAACTTTGACGTTAATAGCGGACCATATTCACAGAGCGAACATGGAATTTAACCCTGTGCGATTAAATATTTTACGTATTCTGATTATATATTAAAATGTTACATTTCGAGCGCAAAGCGCGCGTTTACCATTGTTCTATCTAAATAGTTGTTCCATAAACGTTCTATAAAATGTTACGAACGCAGAAACTGAGCGTAATATAATTTCATTTCATTTCCAAAGACTCAATATCTGTATATAATTAGATCTGTTTAATTTATTCCTAATTAATTATTAAATTATTATCTTTGTAATTATAATTTTTTTTATACGTTCGTCTCTTACCATTTTTGCCGTGCACGTCTCTTAGAAATATCTACTTCTGCTCCTCTCTTTCTTGTTCTAACTTTTCAATTTCTTCATTTTTCGAAGTTTTCCGAAGGCACCGACCTAGTCGCGATCATCAGAATTCGCTTTCACTCCAGACTTACGTGGGAAAAATAGCCGTGCAAAAATGTTTCACGCACTTCTAGTGTCTATGGGACACGGCTTGCTCTCTTCCTCGTCAGAAGAAGTGCAGGAACTTTCCGCGGCTCATTCGCTTTGTGTGGACCTCCGCGTGGACCTCCTCTTCTCCTTCGCGTAAATTTAGCGGTAGATTTCGAGCCTGTGAGACATTTGCCGCGCCATTTGCCGCATGTTGCGGGTGTTACCGTGTGCCGTGTGTGGCTTCGCCGAGTCCTTAAATACATTCAAAAACGCGTGTGCACGCTTTTACGAGTTGACTCTTCGTGCCCCTTGAGCCCTCATCACGCGATCTTCTTTCTGAGTCTCTTTTCTTATTACCTACCGTTTATACACCGCGACTTTCCTCACTCTTTAGCGATATTTTAATTGCACGTTCGAGGAGCAGCTTCGCACAGGCAAAAATAAATTTACGCGAGATAGCGAAATCGGAAAAGATGGAACTTTTATTCTTACGGATCTGCACGGCTTTTCGAACTAACGACTCGGAGTAATGTACTGCGAGATGAGGATTTTGCAATCGCTACTGCTTTACGATGTCCTTGCGGATTGTTCCCATTTCTTCGTAAAGGTCCTGGAGGAACCCCGAACGAAGAGGAAATTTTATACGCTCGAACGAGCCTCTCAAAGGCAAATTGCGACCGCTTTTACGCGCTCACAAAGTTCGCAAATCGCGGAATATATCGCGGGTATATATCGTGCGAACGTAGTACGGTATTAGATTGCGAAGGGAACGGCGTGGCTTTTTGAAAGGGATATTTTCCGCCTGGTATTATCCTTTGCGACGCGTATTCCATTTAGTCCTGGTCGCCATTGAGCGTGAATCGCCAGGTTCACGTGCCGTGCATGCGGAAATAATAATAGCAATTTATTTTCGACAGACAGACAGAGAAGGCTCTCGCCCTTCTGAAAGGATCCTTTCGCTCGTCCGATGATTCAGGCGTGATCGTATAAAAAGTTTTCGCTTGAATAATAAGAAGGAAACGCATATTCCATACAAATTCAACACTCCTTTCATCGTTCTCCGTTAATTAAATTCTGCTAAATGTCCCTTAGAAAATGCGGTTGGGGATCAAATACAATATGTTTACGCCGTGTGTGCTGATATTTTACTTTGCTGATAGCGTGATGCCACACATTCGTTATTTATAGTTGATAAATGGTCACGTCTGTATAGGGTTATCTATTAGAAACATATCGATAAATTCTAGACAAGTCTATCTACAA